ATTTACTTGGGGAAGCTAATAATATTTCGCCCAGTTTTCTTATTCACTTACGTTTTCCAGCTAATAAGACAACAAGAACAAGAATTTTGATCTTAATGTTTCTTACAAAATGAGTCGATAATGGTTTTTTAAATTTGAAATTCACGTTTAAGAGGATTTTGTATGACTTTTTAGTGGAGCGATATCCAGCATGTAACGGTTTCAGTAGGCCAGACGTAAGACACGGGAGTCCTCAGGAAGGTACAGTCAGGAATTTTATAGATGTGAGAGGAAAAAGTATGATCATATTTACTTAGCTTAGTCTACAGTATTCTGAATAATTTTTAACATTTCAGTCGGGTTTCCCTGCCCCTATCAGAACGCCATGAGGTTTTTCTGCCAAGATGATTCTTCGTACTTGGACCGAATCAGGGAAAAGCACCGAGAAAGATGGGAAGGTAGGAAAAATGAAATAAATTCAAACTTGTTTTAATATAAACATTTTTAATACTTTGCATTTTTATGGAATGCCAACAAAAAATCATCAAAATTTAAACTTGGCGTCTGTCAGTATAAAATAAAATGTAGCATAGAGAGATGGTGATTTGGTTATTCAAAGCACAAGCAGACAGATGATCTTTGATTTCTCGGTCTAATTTAATTGTCGCTTATGTCCATGGAAACTCAATCAAGATGTCCCTTATATCACCTAAAAACTAATTCAATTCAATTACGTTGCTAGATGCGGCCTTCTAAAGGGATCAACAAGCCTATTTCTCGGTCTCAACACTGATCCCGCGCCTTATTTACTTGACCACTGTGATCCTATCAATTTTTCTCTGAGAAAAGTCAGTCCGCAAATCCCGAATCAAGCTTTTATAATCAAAGCTATCACATGGTGATAAAATTAGTTTATTTGAACTGAACTGTCGAAACGAAGCCTTTGCCTGGTAATACTTTTCATCTTCTTATGATGGAGGAAAAGAAATGTGCAATAAGAAAGGAGAAAAGGTTTTTAAAAAGTCAGCTCATTGCACTGTGCATCATAATCTTTCTGTAAATCAATGAAAGCAAAATGAACAATGAAAGGGAAATGCATAATTCATTTTCTCGAAGAACGGGCTTAATGACGCTGTCACAGTCTCTCTGATGCATTTGTCATGAACACAGTGTCGTCCAATGTTGCTCTATTTTCGGTTGCATTTTCCATCTTTTCACAAAATAATTAAGAAGTACGATGTATTTGGCAAGCTTTACAAGTTTTTTTTCTCCCAGCAGAAGAGAAAATTGAGACTCGCTGAAGCAGTGGTGCATATTAGACATTTTCATATAAATGCTTAAAACATTAAATAAACAATTTGAAACTGTATGAGAAAGTGTAAACGTGTTCCAAAACTTTTACGTATCCAAAGTTGTGCACATGACACACTGATTTTATAGGAGATCTTATTTGACATAAATATGTAGTCTAGATTATTAAATTTCATTAATTTGAATTAAAAGACAAAGAAAACTGTCATCATCCTCTCATGGTTAATAGGTTTGTCAAGATTAAAGGTAAAGAAGAAAATATTTCAAAGGTAAAGGTATGGTGGAAACATGTTGAAGTTCGGAGAATGAAGGATAAATAATAAATGAATTCAATGTAAAGTAATTATATTCAGACTGATTCCTAGCTAAGGGACACATATTTTAAAAAAAAAGTCTACTTCTAGAGTATTCCAAATAACGAAGGACGGGAAGCGACGGCCTGTACCCCATCCTGTTATCGTAAATATCATATGTAATAAAATGAGATCATTTCATTCAACAAAAAAGCTAATGTAGGTACAACTAATACATATCTCCAACATAAAGTAACAATAAAAGCTTGATTTTGATCACGTTTAGCAAACAGAGAATTAATTACATTTTCTGGGAAAGACATAAAACCCATTCAAGCGCCAGTTCTTGATTTGCAACGGGATTAATCATTATTCAAGTATATCATAAACTCGGTTTTTAATTTGCGATTTTTACCGTAATTGACGTTTTCAGCCACCCGATGTTGCTTGCAAAGTCTTGCTTCAGATATCACAATGGTTAATAGTCGTGTTTAGAGGGTATAATTACCTTTTCTAAAGTTTCAAAGAAACCAATTAGCGTTATCAATGGCAAGGGGTACTCTTACAAGAAGTTTGTATCGCATATAATCCAAAATTGGTCCCTCTTTGGAGTGAATTAATCTGACAGAGTTTTCATTTTCGTTTGTAAGTCTTCAAGTGATTGGTATTAGTGAGTGTTGTGTTAGGAGATACTAGCTAATCGTACTGGAAATGGTAGAGAAGACTTAGAACGTGAAACAAGGTGTCGTCTGTATGTGACGTAGATTTTTCCTTGAGAACAGACTATCGGTTTATTGTTCTAAAAGACAAATGGAAAATCGTGAGAAAATGTAACATTAAACATAGAGAAGAAACTTTTCTCTGTGTGACAATATGATCATGAAATAATTAAACTTACAATATAGTCTTTTTGAGTTGTTTGTTTTATTCTTCAATTCAATGAGTTATCTTTATATGTACTTCCTACATGATTTAAAACTAAAAATGTGCAATACAAAATTAATACTCTCCAAAGCAAAAGCATACTTTTTGGATAATGTATGCAGAGAATTTGTTGGTTAATCAAAAATAATGAAGATGCCATGTCTGAAAAGTACAGTTAACCACTCTATCTATGGAAGAAAACAAGTATTGAAAAACTGAAAAGAGCTTCCTAATTTGAAAACTAAGTCTGTAAATATACAGATTTATATTACATACTAAGTCAACATAAAGTTGAAATAATTTCGTTTGCTATTTTTGTTTTCATTTTGAATATTTTCAATATTCAAAATATTCAAAATTTACTCGTACTTGAGCAAAAGAGCATATTTGAAACAGAAAAATCAGAAGTAATCCTTTTTATTGGCGGATGCTTATTAACGAAGGGGAAGCGTTTTTTGTACTTTGAAAACATAATTTAATACAGGAATAATACAGTTTTATTATAATTTACACGAGTTCTATCTCCATCTTAAAAAAATATAGAACTTTGATATATCTTTTTGATAATCAGGTTTATCTTTTTTGAAGATGGTATCGTAGGCTGTGTCATCATAGCTGAATGGTTTGTGAGATTAGTATTTTACAAAATTGGGATAAACTTTGGCAATTTCTTCAACTTTTTTGAGTTATTCTCCTCTATGTGAAGGGTATGAAAATCTCAATTTTGATATTTTTCACTATGAAAGATATCACTTTCATAAAATTTACTTTTATTATATAGATAAATAACAGAACATGTATTTCGTTGTTGAAAATTGTTAATTTGAAAAAAGTCCACTCCGAAGAATTTCATTATCAATCAATCATCCAACAGAAGTTAAAATAAAAGATTCACTTTATGTGAATAAAATTTTGTATTAAAAAAAGGAGTATTTTCTGTTTAATTTGTCTAAGGGCAAAAACGTAAGGATTAAAGTTATTAATTCTTTTAAAGCATATTCCATATAAAACCCCTTTTACAATCTAGATTTTTATTTTTCTTCTGCACAAAGCAGCTTTTATAAAATATTTTACATTAAGTGGACAGAATTCATAAACACAAAAAGTAAATCTGGAAGGCGGACAGATTAAATATATGCATCAAAACGCAACAGAAACAAGATGTTTTAAAAATAAAGTTATACAAAAAACAATGTTAATCTTAGCATTAACTTTGTTTTTCATCGATACTCATATATAGTTTTTAAAAAATATGTATTTTGGTCAGAATGTTTTATGCATAACATTTGTCTTGAAGACAAATTCAATTTTGTTGATTTTTAGGCATGGATATAAAGGCGGAATTGTACAGAGACTTTTACTTTGACCGATTTCACAGAGAGGGTCAGCCCCCCACCTACCAGCGGAGGGGGTCACTACAGCTCTGGCAGTTCTTAGTGGCGCTCCTAGACGACCCCGCCAACTCGGCCTTCATCGCGTGGACGGGAAGAGGGCTGGAATTTAAGCTTATAGAACCAGAAGAGGTACAAAAATGTTTATAATTTTCGACATTTTAAAGTCATGTACCGTTATATATATATACAAATAGATAAATGTCTTCTTCATTTTCAAAATTTACTATTTTTATCAAATATATAAAGATTTTCTCTGTAAAATGAATGGATAAAATCTATATTGTTGCATATAAAAATTTCGTTTTTGCAGGTCGCTAGGCGTTGGGGGCTACAGAAGAACAGACCTGCAATGAATTATGATAAATTAAGCAGATCACTGCGCTATTACTATGAAAAAGGAATAATGCAGAAGGTAGCAGGAGAAAGATACGTGTACAAATTCGTCTGTGACCCAGAAGCACTCTTTACTATGGCTTTTCCTGATAATCATAGACCAATACTAAAAACAGACTGTTATTCGGAAGAGTTTTACCGAGGTTCAAACCAACCTATGGACAACCAAACAGTGACATTTGAACAAACAAATCCTAATCACGTGTCAAGTCACATGACCGGTCACATGACCCCTAGTCCGTTTACGTCAAATCATCACGTGCCAATGCACGGCCTCAATATGATTTCTTCGCCTACGTCACCAACTTCTAATATGCAGAGTATGGAGCAGCACCGCCTACAGTACATGCACGGCATGCAGAGGATGTATAATACGGGACCTTATCTGGAAAACTGTGTGTACTAACAACGAAACTAACATCCTTAAAATATTCGGCCTTTGCACATTGATTCCAGTTGTAAGGACTTCCTAATCTACTACGGCTCCGTGTGTTCCCAATTTACAGTCACTGTGTTCTTTACACGGCTTTTAAGAACACGAAGATAAATGTATTGGTTATTTTTTAAATTGTATTTTAAATAATTAACTTAATTCTTCATAAGTGTCTGTTATCACTATAACCGACACTAAATATTAAGTGGATTACTTGATGATATTTGAAATTATCCAAATCTATTATTCTGTGATATATATTTAATGAAAATAAATTTTAATGTCATTTAGAGAGGAGTGATAGTGGTTTGAGTATTACAATATATTTGATTTGGAGTTTGTATCATAAAGAATGCCTTTTAAAACATAGAATGATATTTTTACTGGAATACTTCTTTCCTAATTCAGCTTTTATACCCTTAATAATATCTAGCATTAGGAAAGATGAAAAATACAGTCTTTCTCTGATTCCACTCAGTGTTCAAAGATTTTTTTTAATTGTGTGTCATATCTGTCCAAAATTCATATGTCTTTTTTGGTTTCTGTGTTTTCTCTTCTTCAATTTCCACAAAGTGACGATCTTCACTTAAACCTTCTCTGTGATGGGTATGGTACCCCCTGTATGTACTGTGGTCATCACTAGAGTTAGTCCAGCCTCTATTTGAATTGTGCACCTCTGCAGTTACCGTCCCTTGTCTAGAGAAGTAAGGTGGGGGCGGACTGAACTGTTTAGCAGGAGCTGGGGCCTTTGATTCGAAGTCTCTGTTTGGTTTTGGATGTGGTGACATTCTAATTATCGGGGACGTGACATCAACTGAAAGAATTGATATAAGATAAATTATATATGAATGAAAATATCGGCGTTCTAATTTTAAAATCTAGTGTATTTTTTGAATAATGATTGCTGTGATTTTTGCATTTATACACAGTTTAACACAGTAATTCAGAACATTTTTAATATGAGGACCTTTCAAAATTATTTGTATAAAAAGTATGTAGATTAAAGTCTAATCGATTTGAATATCACATTAAATGAAGATCCATGACACAGTTGACCTTAAGTATTTCCTTGCATGTGCGAATTACCAGCTAGATATAACGTTTAAAGCTTTTTTTGTGAGAATAGGTACAATATTAAGTAGCTGTCAATTTAATTAGATGATAAATGATCTACAATATAAATATACCATTTGACAAACTGTTTTTAAAGATAAATAATCCATGATAAGTGACGTACTTCTCTCCTCGACAGGGGAGCGTACTCTTGGAGGCGGTACTTCCGGTTTTGGAGCGGGTTTTTCTTTCACAGGTTTGGGCTTTGGAGGAGGTTCCTTTGGCTTCGGTCTCTCTGCCGGTAATTCTCTCGGCTTAGGCAATACCACCTGAACAGGTTTAGGTCGCCATACTTTCTTTCTCTTACTACAATAATTACAAATAATAAGCTAAAAATCGTATCAAAAAGTAGGCCAACAGCTATCCACCGAATTTTTTGACAGCATTTTTTCTCTCTTTTTTTTTATTTGCGAAAGTGCTACACGCCAGAAGTGCTGATATACCTGGAATTTTCAATTAAAGTAATATTTTATAACTTATTAATATATGATACATTTATATTATGTACTTTTATAAATAATGAAGTTTGATAAAATATTAAGTTTGCATTTCTGTATTTGCTTGGGCAAGATCTTACCAGCAATCACACCTCGGCTTTCTGCATTTACAATCCACAGTGCATAAATAGCAAGAGAAGCCTATGAAAGTAATGAAGAAAAAGCCTCCGACCATAGATGGAACAAACCACGCCATATCGGTGGATTTCTCCAAGAAGGAATACGGACGGTCTGTGGAATACGGAGAATCCGTGGTGAAATATCTAGGAATAGTTACTACAACCGGAACTGACGTGGAGCGACCCGCCAGATCACTTACAGCTAGTGTAAGTGTAATTGTCGCCGCAGTATTATAAAGGCCACTTAGGTCTTTGATATATATGCTTCCATTTTGTAGTACATCGAAACGGGTGTTAGGAGATAGAGAATAGGAGTATCTGCCGTGATTGTGTGAAGAGAGATCTTGATCAACAGCTTGTATTGTTTGCACAATTTTCCCAACAATTTCATACGATTGAACCGTAACAGCGTAACTGGAATAAGGAAATGTAGGAGGAAAATCGTTATTATGACGAATGTGCAGAGTTAAGTCACAAGTATCGGTCAGTCCCGCAGTATCTGTGACCGTTACAGTACAGTTAACCTCTTCCGGTGAGGTGCCATCATCAAGAGTATAATCCCCCTTAAAGCTGATAGCGCCAGAGCCCGATGCAATTGAAAACCGATAAGTATCGGTTCCACAATCCAAAGAATATGTTTTTGTATCACCACTACCACTGTCTGGATCAAAAACGTTATACCTCGGAGTAGGAAAGGCACTGCCATCCTTTGAAATGAAATTCAGAAATATCAGAAACGTATTTTACTGGAATTCCCCAAACAATTCTTGTGTTTTTTTTATTGTTTATCATTTTTTTTACATTAAAAAAATAAAATGTTTTTGTAAACATAATGTTAAACAAACATTTCCTATTTACATGTATAATAAATACTTCGAGAAAATATAGGCAAATTACAGTAGCATCATCTAAAAACACTACAACTAATGGTGGAACACATGACCTACCGTTCCCTCTGTTCTGGAGGTGGAGTAGTGAGTCTGAGAGAACACGGGAGCCTCGTTTACATTCTGAATCTGAATTGACAGGTGCTCGGTGTCGTACCATTTACCGTCTGTCACCGTGATGTACATCAGGAAGGAGGGCGGGTTAGGGAGAATGTCGTAGTCTATGTTATTACTGCTGGAGGTATACACTATACCAGCTGAAAGGCCAAATATACTATTCAGAGGCACTCTTACTTCAACGAAACGATTCAAAGGCACTCTTAATCCGGAGAAACTAATGATAGGCACCCTGACTTTAAAAAAAACTATACAAAGACACCCTTACTTCAATCAAAGAAACTTTTCAGAGGAACAATTTAGAGAAAACTATTACGAGGCACCCTTACTTCAAAGAAACTTTTCAGAGACACCCTTACATCAGACAAACAAAGAACTATAATTTATTGGGACTTAAACGTCAGAGAAACTATTAAGAGGCACCCTTACTTCAAACCAATCTAGAGGCACTTTTACTCCAAAGAAACTATTTAAAGGCACCTCAACTTAAAAATAAAATCCATAGACACCCTTACGTCAAAGAAACTATGCAGATGCACTAATACTTGTTTTAAAAGCAATCTATATCACTCTTTAATAATTATGGGATCAATTTTATTTCTTCTTTCATAGCAATAAATCGTGAGAATTCTGTATTTTTAGTGCTTTTTTAAATTGTAAACGAAATTGACTTTTAAGAGTCTGGAAATAGAACTAAGTCGAGCACATACAATACAAATACAGATCTGTAAACATATAAAAAAAAATCGGCCCACTAGAAATTCTAGATTTGGGATCAGGACCGTAAGAGAAGTACGCATCTCTTGCTGACTGGCCACAGCCATCGTGAGTCAGGAGTATTGAAATATGGACCATTTCGATTCAAATGTTTCAACTTTCAAAATTAAAACTAGCCATAAATGCATAGATATGAGATTACTGAAGTCTTATGTTAATCAATGATACATTTTCAATGGCACAGTTAAAAAACAAAACACAATGTAAGATGCAAACCCGTAACTGAGTAAAAAATATGCTTATTTTAGGATTTTTTTTTTCATATATCATGGGGGAGGGGTATGCTTTTACCTCCTTAAAAATATTCTACTCAGAATACTTTGAATAGAACAATCATACTCAAATGTATTTCTTTTTGGGACTGTTTTCCTTCCAAAAACAATTCAATTAGGAAAGAGTTTTCACTCTTGGAAGTGTAGTTTAAGGAATGGAACAAAAACTCTATGGTAGATTTTCAGTCTTGAAAATAAGTTTTTTTTTCTCCTTTTAAAAAAGAGAAAAGAATCATTTTTCAGGTTGCTTACAGTAAATATTTAAATGCCATTCATATTTGTTGGGAGTTTATTGTGTGTGCAGTTTGCCAAATACGATGTATGTATATTTTCCTCAATCCTTGCACAAGTTAATGTTTATTTTTTATGAAAGATTTCACTTACTTGAACTGTCTACTCTGAAATACTTGTCAGCCCAGTCCTTATTGAAGGACGCTCTAAACACCTTCGGATCTGACGAATCTGTGTCCGTCGCAGAAGCTTGGAAAACCGAAGTTCCCAGGGCCGAGTTCTCCAACACATTAATGGATGTAGGAAGGTTTGTTAAAACAGGGTCATCATTTATATCTGCTCAATGATTAAAAAATATTGGGTGCTTTGAGATTGTGCAATAGTCTATCAGAAAAAATAGTATTTCCTTTTGAATAATCTCATGAAAACATTAGATTTTAAGTCTTGTTCTACTCACTGGATATCGTTACATCAATAGTTCTTGGTCCAACGGTATTTCGCCCGTCTGAGACTGTGACGTCAACATTATAGCCTGCTCTGGAGTGTCGAAGCAGACGATCAGTTAAAACTACTTTCCCAGCTAAAATTGAAATAATTCTTTATGCATAAGAAGTTTGTATTAATATTTATATTTCAAATTCATTTCTCATTAGCTAATTTCTTAAAGTAAAGTTTTGCTTATTCCACTTGTTTTAAATTATAAAAACATACATGCCAGTGCATGCATTTTCTTCAAATGAGAGATGAAATACATTTGTTTTTAATATGAAATTTTCTTACAGTTCAGGATATCAAATGGGCATCCAGTGGGCGTACATGAGATAGAATACGTCACTTGTGGGCTGTCAGCGTCCGTTGTACTCACAGTGAATATGACGTCACTCGTTTTAGCCGTAAGTGCATTAAGTGAAACAATCCCTAAAAATGATCAAAAAGTAAACTATTTAAAGATGGACCATGCATTCTATACATTTATATTTATTCAGTTCACCTCAATGGTGAAATTAAAATAATTTTTTGAGGGGCTACCAAAATTTTCAGAGTGTTGTTTTCATGGTTTGAAAATAAGTCACTGTTAGTTTGACATAGGTGGAATTAAAATCATTCAGTTTGTGTCATTGTTGGAGTTAAAATTATTCACGACTCGTGTTTCATGTAAAATTATTTCGTTTTAGTTGAGAAAGTGGTTTAAAATATAATTTCAACTACAGTATTGTCACTGGTAGTAATAAAATGAATGTTTTCAAGGGTGCACTAAAGTGTTGTCGATGGTAAATGTAAGCTAAAAGAGTTGTAGTGTTTTTCCTATCTAGTTGACGTTAGAAACATTTGGTACTGTCATTCTTATACTTTAAATTCAACAGTTGATTTTTGCAATTGGTTTTCTGGGAAAAAAAATGAGCTTATTGTCAAATATTAATAGTTAAACTCTCACGCAATTTTCTTTTTCAATGATCCAAATTTAAAACTTGGATCGATGATGAACTTATACAAAAAATTATTGTTGTCAATGATCAGAGTTAATCTAAAAACAAAGTCGTCAATGGTGATGTTCAATTAACTCACAATTAGTGTTGTCTAGTTAGAACTACCTAAACAAAAATCGGCCAAAGTAAGCTGGTAAGTGTTGTCAATGTTGGAATTAAAACTACTCACAGTTTATGTAATCAATGTTGGCGTTAAAACTACTCACAGTTTGTGTTGTCAATGGTAGGGTTGTTGTTTTTGTTGACGTTCACGGTGTATGTCCCGCTTGCTGTTGCCAATCCGTCCTCGCACTCAATACTTAGACTGTAGCTAGAACGTGTGTTGTAGTTCAACTGGGGCCAGTCAATCAAGTACACGCCGTACGCTGGAAAAAGCGAAGTAACTCTAGCATATTATTCACTATATCAGAAATCCTATTTATTTATATTTTCCCTTTTTTTTTAATTTGTTCACAGCTCTTTAATCAATAACAAAAATTGCACTTTTATCGATTTAATAATGAATAGTGTTTTACATTTACACTTTTTAATTAAGCCTCATTCATTAGTATTTTGAGATAACTTTCTTAATATTACTTGGATTTGCCGTGTTGACTTGTTTTACGATGAATGGTACACTGGACGTGACCAGGGTACAAGTGTACCCATCGTTCAGCTCTGTGACGGTCAAATCTAGCAACTTCCGTTCGGAGGTTTCCTCCTCGTCCACTGATCCCGTGTTCGGCAGATTATCGATCGTCAATGCCTGATAAGGCAAATGAATAAATAAATAAATGAAACGAATATTGGACAATTTTACAAACGATCTCACAATGCGGAACTCAAAAAATTATTTTTTTTGTGCACAAAACGTTCTATTGTCTTTTTTCTACTATGCAATTATTTAACATCAATGAAAAAAAAGAACAATAAATAAATTTTTCCCCATTCTTTTATGGGTTATTTTCGTGATATTGACACGCACCGTGTTAGGTACTGTCAGAGTAACGGTTCCTGTTTGTGTCAGACGGCAATCGTCGTAGACTTTGACCTCCATGACGTAAGCAGCCTGGTCTGGAATGTCTGCTTGTGTTGTCACGATTTGTTCTGAAACAATGAAAGCGTTCACATATAAAGTGAAGAAACATTTATCAATCTAAATTCGTGGAAAAAAGACAATTTTTCTTCAATTTTTTAAACTCGCGATTTGAAGCTGCATATGTAAGTAATACAGTTTTATATCCACATTAAAATATAAAGCTCGTGTTACATGGAAATAAATGTACATGTATGTAATACACATTTTTATATCCACTTTTAAATGTACATGTAATTGTTAAAAGCAATTTAATTCATTTACTGTTAGTAACATCGAGAGTAAAGAAGGAGTTGTCCGTGGAGACCAGCTCCATGGTCAGTGTGTCCTGGGGGTCAGCGTCTGTCACTGTAAACACGTACACCGCTGCACCAGAAGTAGTGGATTCCGGAACAGTCACAGTAGTAGAGGTTCCGAAAGAAAACTGCGGAGTGTTTCCTGTATTAGAGTTAAAGACTTTCATTAGCAATAGCAATTGTAAATTAAGTTGTCGGTGCTGAGTTTATTTTATAAGTTTATTCATATTATTTACGTATACATGGATGTTGATTTTAGATTCAGACTCCATTACAATTGGTACTTTTTAAGCAATCGTTTGTTAAACCATAACAACAGTCCCGCTTGCTGTTACACATGGCGTAATGGTTAAAGTTATCATTCAATGAAAAAGTATTCCTAAATTAGTCGTTTCATGTTGCTAAAATAAATAGCACATTTTTCTTATTGTGAAGAGGAAGATTTTCCAAAGGGTAGGCTCATTTGGAGCTGCCTGAGAGAAACTAATGTTAAACGTTTTTGAAATCAGTCATTTAAATTAAATTGTCCCCCGAAATATGGCTGAAATATTGCTAACTCGGCGAAAAACAATACACAATCAATCAATTCAAACATTTAACTTATACGGTGGTTCCTTGTCATGGTTTGGGATTTACATTATTTCAGATTAGAATACTTAGTAATAGTAATACCTTTTTTGACGATGGCTCTGATGGCATACTGGCGGTTACTTCCGGTCGACTCGGGGTTAACATTGCTCCAGTCCACGATGTCTCCTGTATTCTTGTCCCCCAAGCTGGTCTTACGTCTGTTTAGAATCGGGTAAGTGCTTAATGCGTTGTATGAGACCATTTCTGTTGCGCTGGTGTACCTAGAGTATAATCAAATATATTGAAACATTTTATTTTTCCAATACATATAATAAGAAAACAAAAAAAGATGATGGTAAAATGTTGCCCCAAAAACTGGTGGCAACAAAAAATTCGTTTATATAAAATATAAATGTACATGGATCCTAAATGGAAAGTTAACCGAGCTGCTTAGTCTAATCAACTTTTATAAAACTAAAATAAAATTACAACTAACGGAATTCTTTACTCACAAGTATTAATTTAACCAGATTAAAATAATATTTTCCTTGATAGACATTGTTTAACCATATATTTGCTTCATTTCTGGCACTACTGATATACAGTGTTTCAGATTTTGCCTACCATCCTATATAATCCCCTGGTTTAACACTGATGCTATCAGCTGGTGGTACTGTATATAGATATTCTTGAATGGCTGTAAAATAAAGCAAAACATTCTTTATGCACCGTTTTGGTTTTTATAATAAAGCAGTGACTCAAAGCATTTGTATCGTTGTATGTCAAATCACGACATTTGTAAAAGACAACGTCCATTTCTTTAAATTGTGTTTTAAACTTTTTGGAACATTGCAAAAAGCTTTGTTTCTGGGGAAATTGCCTATTTCGAAATTTGACAAAACGTTGAATAAAACTTAAAATGTCGATCAATGAGCATTTCCTCCATTTTTAAGAATTGAAAAATCAAACCTGATACTAATATGTTTTTGCATTGCTTTGTTGAACATATATATAACGAAAAACTATATAACGTGCACATACATATAACTTCCGGTGTCTTACTTACATCCGGGACTTATCCTATTTTTGCCGACTAGTGTGTACTGGTTGGCGGAAGTTTTCCTCCAGATCTGACAGTCAAGGTTCCCGGTTCTTTTGGCGTAAAACTCCCATTGGTAGACAATCCCACAACAGCCCACCTGGTAATCCGGGTCCTCCACCAGATACCCGACATCTTAAAATAAACCAGAGGGTTGTAAGTCTTTAAGTAGTTTAAGTAGTTTAATGAAAGTCGAGACTTATTCCATATATGAGGTTATGTATACGTAAATATATCTTACTTGATCCCGATCCTACAGAGTTCTTAAAAGAATTGGGATCCGATTCACCAACTGTCGTACCAGAAGTTCCGCATGCTGAAATAAAACAATGAATTCATATACCCGGTATTAAATCTTGATATCACTTTTTTAAGAGGAAAGTAACTTGATCATCAAACTTTTTTAAAGGTACAAAATACCCATATAGAGAGAGTTTTAAAAATCATTCCACATCAATTTATTCTTCTGGAAAAAAGTATCTGTTATCCTAATTATAATAAGACACAGTAATATTAGATTTTTAAATGTTCATACTGATTTTCTTACCAAAAAAAGATACATAATGTGACTTACATTTTAGGTTGTTCAAATTCTAATACCTTGCCTTTTTTATATATGCTGATTTAAAAACTTCTGGTATGAAACAATATTTAAAAATCTCAAGCAGTATGGTTAGGAGGAAAGGCAGGATCAAATTGTAAAACTCTATGTGATGACTTAAAAATTAATTTTGGTGCTGATACCTTTAAGGTATTAGAAATCATTTTTAAAAAACTTTAATTCGAATTCACAAGATTTTACCAAAATCAACAGCTTAAAAACGTACGATTTTTCAACTTTCAACAATATTCCCCAGAAAATTAAAGCATCCAGGCTTTTCGATATCATTGAACACAGCTTTTTCTTAAAAATATTCCTAAATTATATCACCTTTTCATTGTCATTTGCCAAAATTACTTTGTTAAAAGGCATTCTGATTGTACACACAAGTGTTAAGTCTATCAAAAAGATGTTTGGGTTTCTGATTGACAAAATCTATGCCATTTTTGGAGAAGGTCTTCCAACAATCTTTTGTTTTCCCATTAAATAAACTTTTCAAGTTAAAATAGCAGACTTAAAAACTTCATGTGAAGCAGAATTTTTTCCTCGTATGCGTGAAAAAGAAAAAACATGCTGTACTGAGGCCTTCAACTCTTTAGATATATCGACGTTTATGTCAATATAATGGAAATTTCTTTCTTATCTGTTATGATATATCATTTCAACTTTCTGAGATAAAATGTATATTAAAATTGTCTGACACATCTGTTATTTTTTTACTTGAAAAAGACATTGATGGTAAAATAATATCAGCATATAAAATCATTGACTTCATATATTTTGTTTAAAATAACCCTTAAAAACATTTAATAAAAAAAATACTATCTACTAAAGAAATAAATCTCTACAGCGAGATAAATTATTGACAAACAAGTTGAACAAACATTTTATTCAGAGTCATCATTTCGTAAGTTCTATGGTCGATACAATGACCTTGTCAGCAAATAAAATTAATCATTGAGTCAAATGCTGACTGACTTTTTTCATACTAAGTGTTAGTCCATTGTTTATACACCGATTTGTCGATGGATTTTTCCGTTATTTCCCGATCATGACAAGGAGCACACAGCGGGTGTGACCGGTCGGCAGGGGATGCTCACTCCTCCATGGCACCTGATCCTAACTCCGATATTTTGGAGGTCCGTATTTGCTCTGCTTCTATTTTGTATTGTTGTATGCCTTTTTGGACTTTTGATTTGGAATACTGTTCGTTTTCTCCAAATGTTACATTTAAAGTATTACAGGAAAATGAAAAAAAAAATATTGCGAAAGCAATTTTCATTGAAAAGCTAAAATGTTAAGTAAAGGTGCAATGATTTGATTTGTCATACATAAGAAAATTCTAATTATCATTTAGATGTAATTATGAACAGCTGGTAATTTAGAATATTTGAGTAAAATTCAAATGAATTTAATATTACAACTCAAAAAATTATGTTTTTACCTAAATACAGTAAATATTATTCATAAGAACCACGTGGGAAGATCAACAAATACCTATATGCAGATAAGCTGGAAATGTCGAAAAGAAACATAACGACTTCGGTAACACTCTTGCTGTGTGGCAAAAAACAAAACCTTACGCTGTATTTTTCTCAGTATGTAAAAAGTATTTTGTATAATCAAATGAAATTCTTAGGCAAAAATAAAATAAAAAGGGATACATGTATTAAAGGTTTTGTTCATAAAATGTGAGCATAAAAGAGTGTATGGCAGTTGTTACAATAATCTTAGATAGACCCTCGGAGATTAATGTTACACTGAATGCTCGAGAGAATTAAAAAAAAAATTATTCTTATCATTAAATCATGAATTACATTTCATGTTTGTTAAGTTATATGATTTTATATGGATTGAATATTTTTGCAGAACGATGTCATGTTGTAAATTTTAAATTTACCGGCGGCCGTTAAATTCAAAATTTACAACACGACAAGGAGATGAAAAAGCTAGGTGAAGTTTATAAAATCGCATGTAAACTAAGTCCTAAGTCCTAAAAAAATATTTGAAAAATAACAATATGAAAACAAAACATAAAAAAATCCCTGAACCCCTGGATATTCCGAGATGAAATCAAGTATCAGAAGAGTAAGGATCTCCTGTCTATATATTATCAAGGACTCAACTTAAAAATTATTGAAATCGTTCGTAAGGAATTTTACTTTGTTAATGTTTACAATTGTGAAAAATACAATAAAAATAAAAACTAACTAATATACAAAGTTGTTTGCAATTGTATCGTTTGGCATATCATTAATGAACTGATTTTTAGGGGGGGGGGGTTCTGTGCCAATATATTCGCCATTTAAAAAATCAAACCAACACCAAAACTTACTTGCTGAAATTGTTGATCTTATGAGTGACAACAATATAATAAGAATAATGCATCCAGTCGTATCATCCATAGAACACAGCTGTCCTTAAAATATTCCTAAGTTATATCAGGAATTATCTCTGCCATTATAAGTTTCTTCTTTTGTGATAGTGTTTAGTCTCAAGTCATTTTCACAAAGTGTAGACAAAATCATGCTTCGTTTCGGTTAAGTGAAGACGATCATTATCTTTTGTTTTCTAATTAAATAAACTTTTCAATTTAAAATACACCTGTCAAAAACTTCACAGAGTGTTTAATTTTTTCCTTTGGAACTCAGATAGCGATACCGGGTTTCTTTTTCCCAGGTTTATATGCTTGAATTTCCTTTTCTCTATCTGTTATATATTTTGTATTATCTCAACTTTCTGACAATAAAATGTATATAAAAATTGTCTGAGTGACTGTAATTTATTTATACATGTGATAGTTCATCCAAAAAAATAATATCAACATAGTAAAACTCATTGCCTTATATATTTTGTTTAAAATAACCCTTGATAACATTTAAAAAAAAAAATACTAGTACTAAAGAAATAAATGCGAAGTCTTTTTGCAACAAAAAAGTAACAAACATTTCATTATTTCCCCTACAGATATAATTATTTTCTCCTCATCCAAGACAATTCAAATTTTATAAACACAGAAGAAAGTTTCTTTTATTCTGAATTCCAAATTTTATATGTTGATCTGAGAAATACTTTCTTAAATGTCCTTATTAATACATTGTAAGTACTCTTTTCATTGAATAGGCAAAATAAATACAGTCTATTTACATTAACTATACATGTATATACCGGTACTTCTTTAGAATGGATTCTTTATCCATCATCAATTTTAAACTGGAAGTCTTTGAAAATACTTCCAAGAAAGAATATGACTTACCCAAAGGTAATAATAGACAAATCTGAAAATCTTATGAAACTCTTATACTCTTAATTTTTATTTTAAAAATTAAAGAAACCTTTCATTGTATCAATGGAATTCATTTTTAAAAATGTAAAATAGGACATGTAAACTGTTCTTAGCTTGGGTATTTGCCTTTTTAATAAACGCTTTATTTCACTTGCTTATATTTTGTAAAACCATACTTGACCAATCAGACATAATCACGATAAACACATCTCCGATTTAGGTCCGTTTGATTTTTGCACGATTCAAACAGATTATCAAGGATTACTTTTTATTCCTGCACGCTTAAATAAAAATTAAATATTAAAAGACATGCATTACACTACACGCCATCTAGGATTAACTATTGGTAAATGTCGTTCTAACTGTTAGGAAGGGTCTGCTGGAAAGGTTTATTCACACTAAAAGGTAAGAGAAAAATTTAAAACGTCTCTAAGAGCAATTCTTATTTTGCACAAGAAAGTATTATTAATAATTGCAATTTACAAGAAACTGATTCAATACTGTGTTGAGCAAGCGGGACAGAAAAGTAGAGGCAGAAAATGGTGAAAGATCAATTGAGCCCTTATTGAATTCAATAAATTAAAAAAAAAAAGAGAGAGCGAGAGCTCATCAGTTATTGTAGCTATCTATTAGACTAATGGAATGGTTCTGTTAAATAAATAAATAAAAGGGATATGTTTCCTTATTTAAACCAAAAACAATATATAATAAGGTTGAAATCACTGTGATACCAAATTGTTTGGGGGTAATTTTGAAACAATAACACCAGTGTAAACCAGTGTAGAATGAACAATTGATGATGACATGGGTTTCCATGGGGTAAAACTTTTCAGTGCTTTTAATAACTACAGGCAACAGTTATCAATGTAATTAAGAATCATGGGCGTAAAATATCGGCAGTTGCATTTTTTAAATAAAAGAATATCACAATGCTTCAAACAATGCTGGATGTTGCTACGTTCTGTTACGCTAGAGGGCGTGGTATCATCAGTTAAAAGAAAATAATGTTTTAAAACTTTACGCTTCTCTACGAATCAGATTTAACAGGCGAAACGAACTCCTCAATGGCACTTGATTCAACACCTTATGTATGGTTGTCTTGCTCCCATTTTGCACTGTTCCAGTGAACTTTGAATTTCATTATTGTAATTACAGGGACGTAGCAACAGGGGGCAGGGGGGGGGGGGGGGGGGGCCCCCCCCCCCCCACTTTTTTTGCCAACAATACTTTTACCATTGAAAATGTTCATTGAAGGGCTGGTGGTCCCCCCTCCCCACTTTATACTAAAGGAAAATAATTAATATGATGGAATATAGTATTGTAAGCTTAAAAATGGATATTGAAAGGAATTGGTAGTAAAAAAAAGTTTGCCTTCATCCCCCCCCCCCTCCACGAAATAGGATTTTCAACTTTCGGCAACTTTTTCCTTTTTTTTCCTTGCTTGTCAACTTTTTCAGGTAAGGAAAAAAAAATTTCTGTGGCTGGCACCCCCATTTTCAAAATCGATGCTACGTGCCTGAATTAAATATCTTCATATTTTATTGGTGAAATATATAAAGATAAAGAACAGTATTCAAGCTCAAAAGTCCATTCAACAATGCACATTTATCGAATTCATAGTATAATCCAAAAATATTAATCAATATACTAGTATATAAGTCATTATACGACAATAGAATTAACAAAATGCCGACTTTAAACGCGGTTGTTGAAAGTTATAATGAAACATAGATTCTAGTAAAGATTTCTACAGTGACAATAGGATTTTAATAAAAAAGAGATAAAACTTAGTTTCACAATTTTTATAAGTAGGACTTTTTTGAAAGAAAAAGAAAATTAAACTGCATTCTAAAAGGCTTTCTTAAATGCACAATCAAAGGAAACATTTTTTATTTTTGTCCCTCAAATTTCAGGGGTTTGAAAAATAATTAACATCATATTAGAACTTACTCTGCGTTCGTCTTTACACTAACATTCTTGTTTAAAGTCATCATTACTGAGTCATGATTTGGATATACGAGGGTTGTTCGAAAAGTTCGTCGTTCTTCGTTTTATCACTTTCATGAAATTTAAAATAAGCACAATATAATGTGTAAAGATATTTGTTTTGTTGATGTGTGAAGTTTCATTCGAATCCATATAACAGAAATCAATTTACTTCATTCTATAATCAATATATTTTATGACAATGGAGCACACGGCATTGTAACGTCAAAAAATAGACTCAGGAATTTCTATAAAAAAAAAAAAAAAAAAAAAAAATCCTATCCTTATACATTCACACAGAATAGTCTGATATCCACTCATTAAAAATCTTTTTCTATCACTTGACATTTAGATTTTAATAATTTTTCTCGTTGTACACCTGTAGTTTCCTTCGTCAATGTTTTATTATACCGTATGAGTGGAAATTTTAGCGAGACGCAAATTTAGCGATTTCTACCTAAAATCTGGTGTTTTATTTTTAGCGAGAGGTAATTTTAGCGATTTTTAAAATGCTAACTAAAGAAGCTATTACAAATAATACGCAATTAATTTTTAGCGATGTCAACACCCTCGCTAATAATGCCAAAATTAAATCCTCGGTAAAAATTCTACTTATACGGTAGTTTGCAGTTAAGTGTAAAGTTTTACGTTACGTCACGATCTTTTTCGTCAGATGCATCCAGCGTAAACAATTCACGTGATTAGTCAACTCAAATTATCAACATTGACACGGAAATAGTCTGTTGCACGAGCAACTAATCAGGGATAAGAAGAAAGTTCCAGTCGTAAAGCTTGCGGTTAGGAGGCGTGTATAATTTACCCTGAGTGCAGTTGTCAACTAGAACGTGACGTAACGTGAAACTTTACTCTTAGGTGCAAACTATAATAATTCCTTTCATCACTTAAAACTTTTAAAAGTTTTTCGAACTTTTTTTTCTGTCAAACCGTTTCTTCATATATTGTATTCGTCCGATACAGAGTCTAATTTTGATTCCTCCAATATTTTTTTTCAGGATTTTTCCCGAGTAAAACACAAAATTGCATCGTTATCTGCTTCTTGTATGACCTTCTACAACTTCATTGTTTTTGTCGTTTTCAATGAGGACTACCTATCTTCTCAAGCAGATTTCTTTTCAACGAAGCAAAACGTAAAGCCTTAATTTGGAATATGAATCGATATAGCAATTCTTAATTTGAGCGTCTAGGATTTTTTCCCGTTTTTTTCGTTTTACAGAGAATATGACTACAGACATTAACCCCCTTCCCCGCAGTCACGCATTTTAACGCATATACCCTTTCCTATTTCTAACGCAAAATCACGCATATACCGTTTCCCCGCAATCACGCATTTTCACGCACTTTAAAAAGTTCATTTGATCGTTAATTTAATGCCAATTTACTTATATTTTATACTTGCAAAAATCTCATGAAAGAAGACAAGTTATTTTATTATTTAAGAAATAAGGTATCATTTTTTGAGTTTTATTGAGATGTAAAACGGGTTGGTCACGTGATCAAATCCCAAAAAGCCCGAAGGGCTTTATGGAAGATTTGATCATGTGCCAACCCGTCTAACATCTCAATAAAACTCAAAAAATGATACCTTATTACTTATATTTACATTTGTGACTTATTCATACGTTATATTTGCCTGATTGTTACTTTTAACGTGTGAAATGCGTTAATTTTTCAAACCCAACGGCATGTATGTAATCCACTAAACGCGCGTCGACCCTTTATGACGTCACAGAGAAATTACGTCGAACGTTTATCCAAACGCACATCTATAACCTCTTGACCCCGTACCTGTATTTACACAGTTATAAAAACGCTTGCCTTCAGTAGTGTTATATAAAGGAAAACATTTGCAAATGTAAATATTAGAATATAGCGTCATAATATTATTTAGTTTTACGCTAGACTCACTCCTCCATGGCACCTGACCCCACCTCTGATGTTTTAGACTCCTTGTTTGCTCTGCTCCTATTGTGTACTGTGTGAATAGACCTTTGAGCTTGGCTATTTAAGGAATGTATTGCTGTGTAATTCACACAGACTTGTCTTGCATACGTAAGCATACTTAATGAAGCGCTAGCTAATTTTTTTTTTTAAATCTAGTGTGTATTCCGTGTTTAAAGGGAAGGCATTTTTACATGAGGATTTTAAATGCTATGAAAACTATTGCTTCTTAAACAAGAGATTGAAATTGTTTGTTTCCTGATCACGTAACCTGAAAAGACTTGATCGTGGCGACAAAGTTGCTGTCACTCAGATTAAGACCAATGAACGTAAATGTGTAAGAGTTTAATGTTATGAAAGAAGTAATATATTAAACATTTCTTTGATATTGCAGAAATTAAGCACGTGTTTTTTTAATGTCA